CCTCCGGGCCCTGCACACAGATGGAGAGCGCAACCAGCTCCCAGGTCAGGGGGAGACCCACAAGGTCTCCAACCCCTCGTCGGGCACCCCTGGCCACCCTCACCACCAAGGTGGCCTCGTCACTGTGCCCTTGGCCCTCCACGTGCCACACACAGCCCTACCTCCAGCAACACCCAGGGAGAATGTGAGCTGGGAGGAGGGCAGGCTCCTGGCTGGGACACAAGGAGGCCTGGTCTGCTCCTGAATGGGACTCCAGTCTCTCCCTGTCACACTGCATCGGGGTCACTGTCACACTCCTACCCTTGTTTCTTGGTGCTCTCAACAAACCCTGGGCCAGAAGGGCCCTGTATCAAATCTCACTTTGGAAGTTGGCATTACTGCATTTGCTACCTTTTTTGAAATCATTTACAGGTGCTCTGGGATCATCTAATTCCTTATTCCAGAAAAGATGAATTGAACAAACTTGAGTCACAGTTTACTGAGCTCTGCAATAGCACTTGAGATAAGAAACATTCCCCAGGGAACTGGTAAGACAGCTGGGGAACCCATCTCAGGCTCCCTCTCATCCAACATTCCACACCTCTGACAGGAGACGGTCCTAGAGATTCCAGGGTACACAGTGACAGAGGGCAGCCATGCAGGAACCCCCAAAACCAGGCTGGAGGGGCGGGGAGGGCATCCCGAGTTCTTATTAGTCACCACGACAGCAGGATTTGCTTACTGCACTCAACGCACATTGTGGTCAGGTTTGGGGGGAATGTGTCTGTCCTGCTGAACAGCAGTGTGTGGGCAATGGCACTGCCACAGGAAGAGAGTGACCTGTCAGCATTTGCCAACCATCTAATCTGGGCATGGCACTGAAAAAAGAATTTAAAAAGGTGAGGTGGCCTTTTAATTTTTTTTTTTTCATTTAAGGACTTTAGTGACTAAAAGCAGGAGAAATTTGTAAGAGACTTCCCACTCCCCAGATCTGGTTAGGAGGAGCTGGCATGTGCTCTGGAGTTTCGCTGTCTATAGAACTTCCCATGATGATGGAAGTGTCCCATAGCCACACTGTCGAGTACAGCAGTCACTACCCACGTGGGACAACTGGGCACTTGAAATGTGGCTGGTGTGACTTAGGAATTACATTTTTAATTTTATTTAATTTTAAAAGTCACATGGGGCTGTTGGACAACGTAGCTCTAGAGAGATTGGGGAACATCTGGGGGCGCTGATCCGGGCACCCACCAGCCATGAGCACCTCCCCCTGTTGGGATCTCTTCAACTCCCAAGGTCATGCCTTGGAAGGTGTTCGATCTCTGCCTGGCCCAGTATTAACAAACCAATCCACACTAGCTTAGAAAGGGCTGGGGCAGTGGTTGGGAAACTCATTAGAGCCAAATATCAACAGTACAATGATTGAAATTTCTTTTGAGAGCCAAATTTTTTAAACTTAAACTATATAGGTAGGAACATTGTTATTAACTTAATTAGGGTACTCCTAAGGCTTAGGAAGAGCCACACTCAAGAGGCCAAAGAGCCACATGTGGCCCGTGAGCCGAAGTTTGCCGACCATGGGGCTAGGGGAGCTATATCAATAGGTGGATACCCCTTGGCCAAGGATGAGAAACTTTATAGCTGCCTTCTTCCATTCAAAACGTCTGGTTCTCCCTATGACCCCAGCTGGCCACAGCTCCAGAACCCAAGGAGTCTCCAAGTGCAGACCTCAGCAGCAGGGCCCTGAGGACACAGAGCCCCTTTCCTCACCTCAGGGCCAGAAGGCCCCCCACCTCACCCTCTGTTTCCTGGGCTCCCGCTGAAGCCCTTCCACGAGGACCACGGCCTCCTCACCGCTCTCCGGCTGCCGCTCCCGCACCCAGGCCTGGATCTCCCCGGGCAGCACCATCAGGAACTGCTCCAGCACCAGCAGCTCCAGGATCTGCTCCTTGGTGCGCAGCTCCGGCCGCAGCCAGCGGCAGCAGAGCTCCCAGAGGCGGCTCAGGGCCTCCCGAGGGCCGGCCACCTCCTGGTAGCAGAAGAGCCGGAAGAGCTGGCGGAAGGTCTCAGGGCTGGGGTCTTCCATCTTCAGGGAGGGCTCCTCTTCCCAGTGGAAGTCCTCCTCCACCTTCACAATCAGGATCTCATCCTCCTCCAGGGGTGCTGCGGGCTGGAGGCCGGGGGCAGTCGCCATGTTCCCAGTGGGCCTTGCTCCTCCTCAGGCCTCGGGGATCAAATCTGTCTCTCCCTGAACCCCTGGCCAGCCACTGGGCAGGTGTTTCTTCAGGACTCTGTGGACAGAAGATAACGTCATCTGGGGTGCACTGGGGCTGGATAAGCGTCTGCACCCATAAGCCCCTGCCCTGGGTCCAGTACTAACTGTGGGAAACCGCCTATTGTCTTCACTAGCAGATAAGTGTAGACAGAGAACCCGGAAGGCTGGTGACCTTTGAAGCCCTAGCAAAGGTCAGAGCTGTGCACCACCTGTTAGGCCAGACAATGGTAGCTGAAGCAACTTCCCCACCAGATAGTCATGTAAATCCTTACTGATAAGATAGTCTGTGTGTTACTGGAACTTGCCTGCCTAAGGGCTATACTATGGGTGGATCCCAAACCGATAAAAGGTTGGTGCGGCCTGAGCACCAGCGGACGTCCTTCCCCTTGAGTTGGACTTACCCGCCTGGCCCCCCAATATTTCCAATTTATCTCTTGTCTCTTCTCTTTCATTTGTGTGTGGCTCCTGTTCCAGATCCTGAACCCTGAACCACGCGGGATGTGGGGGGAAACATTTACAACAACTAAGCCACCCTCTTTGGCAAAAAGGGTTGAAATCGATCAACTTATCTCTGCTACTAACTCCCTGCTAGTTCCGGGGCAAACCGCTTAACCTCCCTGGGCCTGAGTTTCCTCCTCTGAAAAGAAAAGATGGTGACATCATCCACACACAGGTTGCTGAGGGAACTACACGGGATGTTCGGGAAGTTCAGCGCGGAGCCTGGGACCGGTCAGAGGTGGAGGAACGCTGAGTTTTCATTACATTACAGCTGACCCTTTCGGGATGGGGTCCCTTAGGGTGGGAACCAGAGTCCCCGCTGCCCAGGAGGACGCAGATTCAGTCTCAACCTGACTTGGCGTCCGGGCGCGGTGAGTCCCTCCAGGAGCCCCGCCGGGTACCCCGAGTGGACAGTCACCGCCGGGGTCTCTCCGGCCCCAGGGCCCTGCGAGGGTGGGACTACGGGCGGACTGCCCAGGTCTCGGAAAGTGAGCGGTGGCCGAGGCCGGAGCCCAAACCAGGGTGCTGGGTCTGGCCGCGGGATGGCAGTTAGAGTCGGGACCCCGCGCCCTCGGACTCACCCGCTGCGCTGTGGACCCTGGAATCTTCAGT